GGAGATTGTCCCTCCTTCCCCGGCAGAGCATCTGGTGGATTCGAACCGTGCGCCTCTGGGATTGTAGTTGCAGCTCCTTGCCACTAGGCCACCAGAGCTCCCTAGTCTGTGCCCTTTTACATTCTGTGTATATATACACACAATCAAGCGTATATTTTTATGTGGTTGAGGTCACACACTGGATTCAACCAGTTATTTTTGGTATCATTACTCTATGTATGTCTTCCATCTTTTTTTGATGCTTTCTACTTCATTCCCCAGTTTGCCCACAGAATTTTTCAGTATTGCAACACAAGGCTTTAATTTGTTCTTTTTATTTGAGAAATGCTGAACTTGTTTTTTCTTCTTGGTTTTCTAACTCCAAGAATGTATACATTTCATTATAATACTTTGTTTACCTTCTGGAGCTGACCTTTGAAATGTTTTGTGCATTCACTTCCTTCAGCATTTCTTCCCTACATTTTGGCTTCTCTATTTTGAACAGCAAGTTGCAGTTTCTTCTGGCTTTCATTGTCTTTTCTTTCTTTCCTGTCTTTTTAATGCTCTTTTACTTTCTTTATAAATAATGTCCTTGGTCCCACAACTGGTCTGGGCTTCGTTCATTTGTGTTCAGTGCATCAAAGCTATTCTTGATTTTTTTAAATTGTGGGTTTTTTTATTATTATTTAAATGTATTATTACTTTCAGTAAAAATGTACAGAGACTGGATTTCCATTCATTCATTGTTGCACTTTTCTTCCTTTTCAAACCCCTCCTCGTACACTACCCTCTTGGAAAAGTAAAAGAAAAATTTTCATTGTTTTACAAACCCTCCCCCAGGTCCACTCCACCATGTAGCTCTAGACTCCTGTCATGACAAAAATACCTAATCACATATCTCTATTTAAACAGTTTTCTCGCTCATCTGTTTCAATGCAGTATACATTACTGAACCCATCTTTCTCAGTCTCTCCCCATCCCCAAGGTCAGTCCTGTTTTACAACAGTGGCCCCATGCAGTATTTGTCCTTTTGTGACTGAGATACTTCACTCAGCATAATGTACTCCAGGGTCACCCATTTTGAATAATATTGCATCTATTCCTTGTTTTTCAACGCAGCATAGTATTCCATTGTGTGAATATACCATAGCTTCTCTATCCATTCATTTGTTGATGGGCACTTAGGTTGTTTCCGACTCCTTGCTATTGTCAACAAAGCCGCAATAAACATGGGTGTGCATATAATGGCTTAGAGGTCAGTGATTTTTTTTTAAAGGAATTAAATGAAACAAAGCCACTTCAAAGAAGCTCTGGTATCATAATCCATAGTGAATTGTACTACTAATCCAAAGTCTCTGGCCGTTCAACCAGAGGATCTGGTTCTGTAGGAGAATGGCAATCTCCTCCTGTGCAATTACAGGCTTAGAAAACCAATGGAGTTGGTTCTGAGTCAGAGGTAATGGATTTTAAAAAAAATCAGGAAGTAGTATATAATCAAGAACTGATATTACTGAAGGAAGACTAAAAATGGGACTTTCATTTGGTCATGTAAGAAAGGCTTGGAGCAACCCGTGTATAGCAAAGACAATGTGCCCATGACTTTTTTTAGCCTACTACACTTCCAGACTCTCACAAAAATATAGTTTGTGCAGTTTTCAATCAAGGTCACTTGGCAGCTCATGTAGATTGTCAAACTATGCACCATCACGCAGTGAGTGGTATATTAGTGGCATAACAGAGAACACATTTGATGCTAATTGGGCCATCTAAGTTACCTAGGAAATGTTACTGTAATCTTCAGATTTCTTATGTAAAATAGCTACCCAGATTAAAACAGATAAATGTAGAACACTTAAACAGATACATCACAAAAGAAGAAACTGAGTAGGTGATAAAAAGTCATCCCCACAAAGTCCTGGATGAGACAGCTTCATGGCT